GAGCAGTTTTGATGATCTGTTTGGTGGCTTCAACATAGCCGTTTTCACCGAAGTGCATCAAGGTGGCCCAACAGGCTGCAATGATGCCACCAGGCAGTGAGCCTGCAATGCTTGGGGAAGCGTAGATGCCACCTGGCCAATCTGTGGTAATGAAGAACTGGTACTTTCTGTATTTCTTGTTATGGTACAACACCACGGACGAGCCTTTGGAGGCATAGCCATACTTATGGGTATCAGCCGAAATGCTGGTCACACCTTCTACCCGGAAATCGAATGGTTTCTCCAGTGGGTATCCTGCTTTCTCCATAAAGACGATAAGGAAAACCCCCAGACAGGCATCTACATGAAGAGGTATTTTGTATTTGATGGCCAGCCTAGGGGTGATGAGAGCTGTTTTTCACTGCTATGGTTAAACCTAAAATTCAAAACTGCTTCTATTTGCCAGGTACTGCATTATTAGATTCTATTTTAAAATCTCATTCTGACTGCCAGGGTGGGCCAATTCTCTCATCACCTTGGCCACTTCTGGGATAGGATCTGTCACACCATGAGGAAACTGTGGCGCAGAGCAGACGAGCATAGCAGTGTTCTTGGAGATGGCTCTTCTCATTGCCCACACATTCACCTCCATCATCTTATTCGGTGGGACCCGCACCATCTTCATCCCAAAATAACTGGCTGCTTTGTCAAATGCAGCATGGGCACTTACGGGAACCACTATTTCGGGAGTTTTGATCCCCTTCTCTAAGGCCAGGTCCCGATAAGCTTTGCAGGCCATCAGGATGCTTTCTGTCCCCCCGGAGGTCACACATCCACAAGAATCTGGTCCCCCATTGAACAAGGAACACGCCATCCTCACAATTTCTGCCTCTAATTTGCTTAGTCCCGGGAAAATATCCGGATGCAGTGGGTTACTCCATGCAAAATTTCCATACGCCTGCACAAGCAGCTCCATGAGCTTCTCCTCCCTGTACACAGCTCCTGAGGCCTTCCCTTCTTGCCAGATACCATCCATGGAGCTGTACTCCTTGAGTCTCTCCAGGACTGCTGTTGTGCTCAGATCCTGGGCAGGCAGGGCTTTCACATAGTCTTTATCCACTTTCAGGTACTGCAAGTGCTTCCCAAGGTCTTCCGTGATCTTGTCCAACTCTTTCTGAATCTTGTTACCAAGAAACGGCATCTTCCTCACGAGCCTAAAAAGTTTCTTTTTAAACCTTGACCATAAGGTCTCCAGCTGGAAGATAAACCTATATGCCCAAACTATCAACAGGGTCCACAGGACACTCCATGCAATTAGCTGCCAGGGCTCATATTTGGTGCAATACCCGTTTACATAATTCTTGGCTTTTGTGGAATATGCTTTCAAAATCTCGAAGTAAAGCTCAAAGTTCTTCTAGAAATAGAAGAGGGAAATTACTACTTTTTAACTGTGAAAAAGTATAGAATAGTTTAGGTTCCATATTCAAGCAGAATATTGACAGATAAAACATACAACTTTATTTTCATTAGTCTTTTTTGATTACTATATTAGAATTGAGTAAAGAATATACAGTATTTACTAAAGTAGACCAGCTGTCAGTTACATGTGAGGTCACTTATGATGAGCAAACAATGGATTAGGTAACAATGGGGAAAATTCTGGAAGTTTGAGGTTGGTGCTTACTAGCAGCAACCACTTTTAACATTTCTGCAAAGCTAGAGAATGTATCTTCTAATTTAAGTTTATTTAATAATTATCTATTGTGTAGTATACTATCAAAAGGAGGTCAGTTTTAAAGGAATACTACTGGTAGCCTCAAAGACTGGGGAAAAGAAAATTTTCCCCCTCACACCTTGATAGTTCTTATATCTGTATTCCTGCAATACATATATCTATATGTAAACAAGTCATTGGATTAGCAGCAAGGGAGTTGAAAATGAAAGAAGTTGGGAATGACTGCTATTTCTTTTTTAATTCCACATGCATAAAGGTAAATATTGTACAATTTACAGTACTTTACATGCTTAAATTTAAGCTTTTTAGTAGAATGAAGGAATATGTGGCAATAGTTTGCACTGCTGAATCAAAATTTACTATTTTCCTACAAGATATTTTGTACACTAAAAATCTGAAGTAAAATCTTCTCATGTATTTGTGATACACTGAATTTCTCTAAGGAATTCTGGAATGATTTTAAATTATGACTTGTTTGAAACTGTTTTTATATGTGTCATTATCATATTGTTTGGGTAAATTTTTTGGGGGCATATAAATCTGAAGAGTTGAATTTTAGTCACTGTAAACAGTATAATAAATCTGTTTTCCTATTTGAAATTAACACAGTTACTGAATTTTCTCTGTCAAGAGTCTTTCTAAGTAAAAGCAAGTAAGTAATTAAATATCATGGAAAAAGGGTTGCGTGGTATAAACAAATCAGCCAAATATAAATAAAAATTTGTAAAATTAAATGTGAAAATAGGTGTAGAAGTTAAAGGATCTCCATAAAACCAAATGCAGAAACTTGATCTTTAGGACCTTTTGCTTTTACCAGCCTAAAATCAATGAAAGGCATGACACATGTAGTTTAAGATGTTTCATTTTTGCTAGAAAACACTAATGGAGTCAAACTTTCTGAACTCAGGAATTAGATCTACTTCTGTTACCTTTAGATTAAACTCTAGGATGACAAATAATAAAATTTATATCCCAGAGTTGTGTGTATTTCTGTGCTTATCACCAAGTACTTAGTGAAATGAATAAAAATAGCAATCACAATACCTTACCACTTAATTTTTACAGCTATCTTTTGGGAAGGGTATTTTATTTTCTTCTTTACAAATAAGAAAACTGGGGCAGAAAAGAGATGAGTGAAGTATTCACTTTGTGACTATAGATAAGTAGTGAATCCAGATACAAATCAAATACAGATTTATGTGATTTCAAAGCCCCTGTCACTACCCTGTACTTGGAGAGTACACAAATCTACTTTTCAAAGGGGATGAGAGTGAAGACAGAAGCAGGAGGGAGAGAAAAATTTACGAACAACCACAGATCCTGTGCTGTTGAAAGAGAAAAGAATTTGATGGAGTATTTTTATTATACGTTGCCTCTCTACATACAACAGTGGCTTGCAATTTTTACAACTGTAAATCTATGTATAAAAGAACATAGAATTTATTTTTAAAAACTAATAGCAGCTCATTGAAATAATCTCTACTTTTGTTGTAGTATAAATATGTCATTATACATAAGTATTTGCAGCTGCTTATCTTTTTAGGCCAAGGACATAAGGCACGTTAGTTATGTAGCATAATGTAGTAATTAAAAATTTTATAATAATATAAAATTTAAACTTCATTAATTTTCTCCAGATAAATACACTTAACAGAATCTCTACAGACTAACAAATCAGATGATCTAATAAAAGGATTGCCTGATAGAAGTTGTCTCCAAAGTTAGAACGTGGCTAGTGATTCTTAAAATATTTATCTGGCTTTCTTCAGGAAAAAATTAGATGATTCTATTGCTAAATTGTGATCACTGTATCACTGGTCTCTTATATCCCTGTTCTTAGTGAACCCTATGGATTAGATGATAGCAAAAACCATTTGGTAAGCAACTCATGGCATGTTGTATTATTTAATCATTGGACTCCCATCACTTTCTCTCTAAACATAAAATAAATGCTAAAATATAGACTTATTGTTCTAGATTGTGAGTATGGTTTTTATGATTCTTATTTTATATACTCATGATTCTTGTAATTAATTAGCAATATATTATTGATGAACACTAAAATAGAAGCATTAAGTTCTTTACACTGATTACCTTTTTTGTGTGTGTATTTTAAGCATCATGGATCAGTAGACTGATTACCTTTTGCTTTTAGGGTTCCCAGTGCCGATTCCGACACTGCAAAGAGGCCCTTGGCAGTGACACTGTGTGCTCATTATGGAGAGAGAAAAAATGTTTAGATCTACATTGCAAATTTAGACACATGGAAGTGCAGGTAAAATTATTCAGTCTCATCACTTTTGTTGAAAGCGTCTCCTTTCAATAATGCTGAGTTGGGCCGGGGATTTATCTCAGTGGTTTCACCACCTGTTGCGCAAACACAAGGACCCCGGTTCAATCATGGTACCAAATAATAATAATAATAATGATAGTAATAATAATAATGACAATGCTGGGTTATACTTTTACAACGGGATAGGGAAAATTATTCTTCTTACCATTATCTAATTTAGGTACATTCACTTTATCTAACTTAAAATCTTAGAAAACTAATAGAACATGTTTTGGAAATATCTATTGTGTCTTTTAATACTGACACAATGCAAGCCAGGAAATAGATGATCTTCAATCTATAATTGCAGTTGTTTTTGTCACATTATGTTCTGTTGTAGCACTTTCTATTTACTGTGAATATGGAATCTAATCATCACATTTCCTCCCACATTTTTTATCTAGCAAAACTGCAGCATTTCATGCTTCTGGGAAACTCAACCTCTTGGTTGTGTGAAGATCAATTGTATGTTTCATCACAGCAAACCTCGAAATATTAATGGACTATTTTTGGCATCAAGTAGCAGTGAGTACATTTTATTGAATAACATGGGCATACCATCTCATAATCTGGTTTTGGAGTAGCAGCACAGAATGACACATTAAAACATGACAAGGTGAGCAATGCAGTTTAATAGCCAATGGATTATTTGGGATGATTCTATTAAGAATCTTGAGATGAACCAGCCTGTAGCTAACAAGAAGACGGAAACCATGGTGCATGCCTGTAATCCAAACTACTTGAGAGGCTAAGGCGGGAGAATTGCAAGTTAATGGCCAGCTTGGGGAATTTAGTAAGACACTCTCTCAAAATAAAAAATGAAAAGGACTGGTAGAGAATCCCCAGGATCAATCCCTGGTTCAGGAAGGACGGAAGGAAGGAAATAAGACCAAAAAAAAAAAAAAAAGTTCAACTTTCTCTGACTGTATCTAAAACAGATATAATTCATCTGAAAAAGTGAGTGCTACAGATCTCAAGCAGGAGGCCATCTCAGCAAAGCACCAAACACTGGAACCAAGCTCAGAGGTTATGGCCTCCTTAATGCTCTTCGTGAATGTCAGAAACCTGTCCCACAGAGGGGAGAGTGAGGACATTCTCTGAGTGATGCACTTCAGTTTCTAGCAGAGCTATCTGCTGTGGTTTTTCCTGAGACTATAATTGTGGAGAAAATGTAATCTCTTTGCGACAAAAGAAATGGCACAGTTCAATTCAACTGACCCATACTGAGACGAATTTCTGATGAACTCTGAAGTAGATTCTGGAAGGGAAACAGAAGACATTGTACTCAAAAGCAGTGAACGGCAAGAATCTAGCTGAAGATAAGAAATGCTATGTACCAGTTTCCCAAGAGAAATGAAATTATGTATTACAAACATAATCTAATAAAAATATCAAATAACAACAAAAGACATTTTAAGTTTTCCCTGATGCTGTAGAAATTTTACTTTCCTGGTCCAACTTCTAAATTATTCTGATAAAAAAGCTCTAGAAATTAACTTGTAGGATCTTGGTCCTTTTGAGATTTGAAAAATTGGCTTCAGATAATCCTTGGAAAATGCATAACTAAAATCTAAGTCCTCTTTTTTGCAGTTCTGGAAAATTCTGACCTCACAGTACATATCATTCATGTAACACCTTGTTCAACGTTTCTGTTCCTCAATAAACTAAATATCAGGATGAGGATCATCACTAGTTTCCTTACTGTTGTTTTTCACAGTGCCTGGAGCACTGATTCTCAGTAAAATTGGATGTTTGGATATATGGGTGGGGGATGGCTAGATGACTACTGACAGGTAACCTATTAGGATGAAACTTATTGCATGTATCTGATTAACTTTGCCCCCTTAGCTTACATGTGTTGATTTTATTTCAGAAAATATAATGTACTGAAATCTTTATATCTGCTTAGTGGATTGCTCCATAGTGTTCTATAGGTAAATTGCTATCTTTTAAACTAGTTCCTTTAGGACTAGAGAAAAACAAATCTCCATACATGGGCAGAAAGGTGAAATACCTACGTATCTGATAATTATGGGGCTCCCCAATGTAAGGCATGGCCTGGGAAGGGGAAGTGCTTGGGTACAAGCTTTATTATTCTCATTTCCTAAAAAATAGAATCTGAAAGTTGAAGACAAGTAACTTCTGGCTTTTCTGGAACTCTGTTTCTTTACCCGGTGACAATGCTTGGTCTGGCTTTTGGAGTAAGCTCTCCCCTCAATAGGGCCAAATCTAGATCCATTCACTGGGACCAAGCCCTTCCCGTAAGAATTCTACCCCATCATCTCCAAATCTCTTTAACTCTATCGGGGACAAGCAGGAGCCCCATACACCTACCTCCCTGACACAGCGTCATCATAGCTACTTATGTTTTGAATTCAGAAGGGCTAATTTCATTCTCTATGTCGGTCAATATGAGAGACTCTCTCTTAAATGACTCACTCCTGTCTGTCTCCTGGCATTTCCGCTAACCCTCCCCAACCTCCCATAATCAACAGTTATCTTTATCTTGCTATTCCAAGAGTAGCTTTTCTCTGAAGGTGCTATTACTCCTGTAGTGCTCCCAGTGATCAAGTACAACCATGGCTCTGGAGGTGAGGTGAGAGATTTCCTTGGTCATCACTGCCAATTTCAGACTGTTCTCTGGCACTTCTCCCTAAAAGCATTCAGTGTATATCTAATGTCAATGGATAGTATTGTGTTTTTTGCAAACTCTCAGTGTAGATGTTGTTTGCTTTTGTCTACACCCATCTAGCTGCTCTCTCTGTCTTTCAACAATCTGACCTCTTGCTATCACTCTCACAGTCCTCCTCTGTCAATTCTTAGTGAATATATAATATGAATTTAATTTGTTTTATAATTTTTTGGGAAGATGGCCACTGTGGACTGCTTTTGTTTGAGAACTGAATTGTTTGGGGACAGAAGCATTTATGAACTGAGTTATTAATATAGTATATAATATAAATAATAAATAATAATAAATATATAATATATAATATATAATGTATAATATAATGATGTAATATATAATATATAATGTAATATAATATATTAATAGTATACATAATATTATATATAATATAATAATATAATATATATTATATATTTCTCAAAAAATGCTTTAAACTCACTGGGACTTCCAGTTCATTGATTCTACCGTATTTTCACAATCACTGGCCCTTTGATATCTTCTTTCACCTCTCCCTTGTAATCTGTCCCTTTTGCATATCTTCTACTCTCTTGCCACTGTCTGGCTTTCCTGAACTCCCTTGCCAGTCATAACACTGGTTAAAAACAATGCTCTACCTACTCTCTGGCTGCTTCCATGTTAACTGAACATTATTGAAGAAAAATGTGCAACCATGCTGATTGGGATAAATGCATGACCATAAACCTCCAATTACCCCATCAAGTTGACTTCTTATCATGCTCCATGCTACTTGCACAGTTCAACCCTATTCCCTTGTTACTCTTTCTTCCTGCTCCTTAAACTTCCATTTCCACCTCCTCTTCCTATTCTCAGATGATGGCCATATTGTCTTAATAGCTAAAAATATTTTAAGAAGACTTTCGCATATATCCTTTGTTATATCTGCTAACCTACAAACACCTATACTGGTCTTTTCCTCACCCCTACCATAGATAAACTGTCATATTCCTGCCTAAAGTCTATACTTCCAGTTCATCACCAGGTATTACCTCTCTTGTTTACTAAAGGGCACTGGTTCAACAAGACCTCTGTCTTCCATGTAATCATTTTTTAATCTAATTGCAGTACAATTCAGTGATCAATTCTGAGTTTTTATATAACTTGAACCATCGGGAGGTTGTGACACATTTAATAACCCCTTCCTCCTTGATGTAATTTTCTTACCTAGCTTCCTAAAATCTTGACTTTGTTTTCCTTAACTTCTCTTAGTGCTCTGTTACTACTCATCTTGCTGGTTTTTAAATCTTTCTTCCAACTCCTTACATATGCAATATAGTAGGAGTTAGTCCTTGGTTCTCTTGTTTTCTCTGTTTACACTCTGTAATCTCATCAAGTTTTTGTTGTTGCTGTTGTTGTTTGAGAAAAGGTCTCACTTTGTAGTTCAGGCTAGCCTTTAACTCAAGGCAATCTTCCTGTCTCAGCCTCCCAAGTGATGTGATTACAGGTATGTGCCACCACACCTGGCTTTCATCCAGTCTTTTATCTTTTAAAATGTGTTCACAAGTCATTGACTCCTAAATTTATATCCATTTTTAACCTTTCAAACTTCATATTCCTATGTTGTTCATCTTGAACTCTTGTATGACTAATAGACATTTCACACTTACATGTTTACCACTGAACTCATGAGTTTTACCTCCATTCTTTCTACCCTGCCTCATTCTGCATTTACAGCTCTTCCGATCTCATTTTAATGGCAATCTCATCCTAGTTGCTTAGGTCAACTGAATCATCTGCAAATTCTCAGTTTCTCTCATATCCCACAACTAATCCATATAGGAATCTTGTGTATTTTGCCACCCTATTATATCCAGAATCTGACTTTTCTCATCACCTGTACTATTCACATGAGCCAATGCACAGTTATCATCCCATAACTGGATGACTACAGTGGCCTCTTGTTTTCTCTGCTTTATCTCTTGACCATTTATGTCTACTCAAACGCAGTGATATATTCTGATATATAAATCAGGTGTCACTCTTCTACTCAAAATCCTCCAGTGTCTTTTCATTCAGAGAATTCAGAGTCCTCATAGAGACTTCAACAAGGGACTATTTGACCAGGTACCCTGTCAGCTCTCTGAATTTATCTTCCACACTCACATACTTGCTTACTGTGTTCCAATCAAACTAAGATTCTGTTGTGGTTTAGATCTGAAATGCCCCCCAATAGGATTGTGGTTATACTAACTGATCAGTGCATTAATTCATTGATGAGCATGACTGACTGTGCTGTTATGAGGTGGGGCCTGATTGTAGATAGATCACAGGGGGATGACCTGGAAGGATGTATTCTTGTCCCCAACTCGTCCCCTAGCCCCTGCCCCCTGGCTGCCATGGGGTGAGCAGCTTTCCTCCACCATGCCTTTCTGCCATGATGTTTCTGCCTTGGATCCAGCTATTTGAAATGTAGTCAGCTTTCCCATCCCCTTCTTACTTCCAATCTTCTCTATTTTCTTTTTCCCATATGCCAGTGATGGCAAAACTTTTAGAGACTGACTGTCCAAACTGCAACCCAAAACCCACTTATTTATCACAAAGTGCCAACTACGTCCCATGTGTGCCATTATCCAATGCTTAGCTGTGGGGGCAATGCTGGGGGGACTTGGCTTGTGTCCTGACAAGAGAGGGCTCTGTGTGCCTGCTATAGCACACCTGTCATAGGTTCACCACCACTGCCATATGCCCTGTCATTTTTTCAGATACAATATAATTTTCTCATTTACTATGATTGTTGCACAACTCCTTCCTATAGAGTAAGAATATTTGTTTTGTTCTCTGATAAATCCCAACCACTTAACAAAGGAACTGTATTATC